TCTTACTCTATGCACACCCAGAAGGGAACAGTTTCCTCTGAGTGGATTTAGACTGTTCTCTGTAAAAGGACCTTTTCTGACTTCATTTATAACAGGGAGTTCCTGTGGCGTGCCTAGACATATTTGTGGAGTCTTATGTTAAATATGCTGTAGAAAGAGGGACTGTGGTACGTGAGATGGCTTTGACCATTAAGTCCCTGTGGTTAGTGAGGATTTTTTTTACATGTGACCTGTATGTATCCTTTAGGGAAGCCTACAGCCTCTGCTGTTTTGGAGTTTGAAAACACTGCAGTGATGTTTCATGTTATAAACAGCTCTCTAGTACATAGTTCACAGAAACTAAAATTCAGATCTAATAAACCTGCTTCAGTGGCCTTGCTTGTAAAAGGACAGTTGTTACATAAATCCACTAAAAGAGAAGTTTGGGTATTTTAGTGGCTTTCTGCCGTTACTGCTGAACGTGAAAATGCAGTAATTAAACGGGAGCTGTGAGGCTGCTCCTCTGTTCCAGTCCAGGGTTATAATTAGTTTATAGCAAACTTTATCCCAGGTATATTAGTTAAAAGTCTTACGGTAAATATTCATTGAACAGCTATGCAAACCAACTTTTTCTTCTTTTTTCTTCCCTCCCCCTCTTGTTTTACTGTACTAGACTAATGAAAATGAGCTGAGGAAGTTTTTTACTCAGTATGGCAGTGTGACAGAAGTGAAGATAGTAAACGACAGAGCTGGAGTATCAAAGGGGTTGGTATAGTAGCATAAGCCTGTTATGGAAATTGGAAATATAACAGAAAGCTGACTGACTGTAGTGAAATGTATTATGATTTTCATAGCTCGGAATATGATTCATTTTATGTCACAGTTATTTCACGTATACAAAAATTTGGTTTTGACCTTTACATGTAAATGTCTTTAGTTTGCATAACTGTAAAACTCTGTAGTCATGTTGTTATAACATGAAGCTGTGTGCAACGAGGAAAAAATCAATAGTCTTTTCATGGGTTTTTATGACAATAATAATTTAAATAGATAATCCTGATATTTCTGCTGAAACCCGTTGTGGAAAGGAGCTTCAGAGTGGAGGAAGAGGTGAGAGCATAGGGGACAAATCTGACAGGCTATCAGAGGGGACTGAGGCTGGAAATCAACAATAAAACAAATGCCAAAAAGCAAATCTGGAGAAAGATTAAGACTGGGTAATGAAGTTGTTGCTGGACCCTGACAGATGGTGAAGGAGATAAGGTGGGGAACTGTTACTGTCACAGAAGGATGAAAGGAAGGTTGAAGCAAAAAATGTGCGTGAGAATTTGTACCTGTAAAGTTCACTGTGGTCAGAAGTTCTGAAATCTGACCCTGAGACATGAGCCATGAACCTAACAAATTATCATACTGAACTACTAAAAGATTTCATAAAAGTGTTTGAAATTCAGAAAGTTGAATGCAAGTTTATGTGTCGTGGTATGGACTGTAATTCTAATTACTTGCGCGCAGGCAGCGCCACTTTCAGTAGCCTAGATTGCTCTGGGAATGAACACAGGAGTTGTGTGCAAAGCCTGTTGGATTTGTTGCAGCAGTTAGAAGGCGTGTGGTGAAAGACGTCCTGTTTTGTGAAATATGAGACTATTTCATCCTTGATCACAGCAGAACTTGTTTAATACTAGTCATATCAAGAGTAACAAGAAGAATTCCCAGATAAATGCTATTTCGGCATTGCTGCTTTGTCTGAGAATTCAACGTAGCGCTTGTGGAAACGTGGAGCCTTCGCAGTAGTTGTTGAAGTAGGTGGGAGCTGTGCTGTGAAGACCAGTAAAAAAAACAAGTGTCTTGTCTTGGGCACTTGTAACGAGCAAGAGCTTCAGGTTAAAATCTCTCTAACGGTAGCGAAGGATCTAAAGGCGCACGCTGAGTAACAAGTACAGTTTTGCATGTCTTTCTGTATGGGCTAATTCACTGCATAGAAATAGTAACACGTTAACACGTACTTGAGTACAATTATAAGTAGACTGTAACAAGGATATTAATTTAAGATGACAGTTGTACCTGCAATCTTTATTTATATGATTCCTGGTGTGTTTTTTTTCTGTTGGTTTACCTTTAAATGTCAATCATACTATATATCGAGTAATAATATGCAATGCATTTAAAATGGAAATAGAAAATTCAGAGGGAGGCTTAGCCTCTGTAATTTTTATTTAGGTATGGCTTCATTACTTTTGAAACCCAAGAAGATGCACAGAAGATTTTACAAGAGGTACGTGACAGTCCCCATTACCTCCTATTAGACTCTTAAGTAGCCCTGGTTGCCTGGTCCTCCCCTGTTTGTCAGCTTGCTTTTGAACATCTGTTAGGGTTGGCCTGTGTAGTTAAGAAGGTGGCTTAGAGAGATACAGGATGAGATTTATACAGAGATCTGGAACTAGGGAAGTTGCCAGCCCATAGCACAGGTCTTGACTTTGACATACAGTCACTACTTTCCTAGTCCGTTGTCTGTCAGAATGCATTCTCACTGAAATGCATAGCATCTGTTTTCTGTGAGTTGCTCGGTGTTTAATAGGTTAGGAATGTATGTTTGCCGTAATCAATATTTGTTAATGAAGTCCCAGATTCAACAAAATAGTTTAACCTCTTCCTAACTTTAAATACGGTGTTTGGGACACTGCGAGTGTTCAGGTACAGTGTTGTGGGTGTTCAGGTACAGTATTTTTCTAAATTTGGCTCAAATGAAGGAAACTTACTGATTACCTACCTGTTGTCCTTCTGTCAAACGTGATTTAGAATCGTATTTCTTTCTGTGTTCCTCTCAAAGAAGTTAATTCTCTCCTTTCTGGAGAAGTTAACAGCTCTGAAAGCTTTGCAGTGTAACGTGGCAGTGTTCAGTGTGCGTTCTGCCTTAGGTAGCTGTTCCGGGAAGCAGGCTGTCAGAACCCTCCTAGGTTTTGCAAAGCAGGATTAAAGAGATACTGGCATCTAAAAAAAATTATTTACCCTATACTCTTCCATTGCATTAACAAGTACTAAGTTCAGTGTCAATTTAAAAACACAGGCAAGGTTTTAATGTACCTGATGTACTCTGCTCCCTTTCTGTGGCAAGCGAACCCCAGCTAGGTACTTGGCTGTGCCTAGCATGCTTTTATTCTATTCTTCTGCAGCGGTTTAGCCTTACTAGAATGGGTGTTTCACTGTGCCTTTGTGTTTTGTTAGCCTGGATTTAGGGAACCTTTAAGGCAATCCTGAGTGACTTTTTTTACATTTGGTCCTTATAATCTGGCCATTTTCACAGACTTACTTGCTCCTGTCATCATCTGTAAAAATAATGTCATGATAAAAATATATTTTATATTTATACTTGAAACAGTCTGCTTGTGTATGCATGTGCGTCTGTAAAAGCAGTAAATACGTGAGAAGTAAAACTAAAAAAATCTGCTGACAATTCAAGCTATCAGTTATTAGTAGAGGGCACATGAGAAATAAGTAGTACTTGAAATTACTAGTGGTTAACTTTGTGAATTCTAAGGTTAGGATAGAAAAAGAAATTAGTATAGCTTTGGGGGTTTTTTGAGATGCACTATAACAACATGCAGTGGAGGGTGAAACCTATTAAGTGCCTTGCCTACTTCTGATTTTTGTTTCTTCGATGCCTAGAAAACGTCTTCTCTAATTTTAGGCTACAAAACTTAATTATAAGGATAAGAAATTGAATATTGGTCCAGCAGTAAGAAAAAAACAACTACGGAGTCCACGTATGTATTTTTATTCGCATTTGTATATTATATCTTGTAAGTTTTTAACTGACTTTGCACGGTATTAATGTGGAATACACTCAGCCTGGTTTGCAGTGGAAGTAAATGCATGCCAGTGGAAACGTCCAAATAAACAGGCAGATGATCTTTTGCGTCTTTTACCACTCTTACAGTGTTGTGTGCTTTCATTCTTTCTTGGAAAAGGTTATCTATCTGGGATTGAACTGAATGGACACTTCTTTCAGTTGCCACAGGGAACCTCTAATCTGAACGCTTAGACTGTCCTCACGGATTCTACAGGAAAAAGCAGGATCTGCTGGTTGGAGGGGTTGTTACTGGTTTATTTATCTGCATTGGCAAAATCCATCATGACTGCTACGTCTTGCTTTCTGTGGTAGAAACTGTAAGGAATGGGTGGTTGCCGTTGTCATTTGGTTCTTAAGAGTTCTTTGCCGTAAGGTAACGGAACGGTTGCTGTCTGTTCTTTCTGTGGCAAACAACTTCAGATGGAGCATTTACGTGAGAGGATATTAATAAGGCTTCTTTGTCAGCTGGCTTATCTTAAGTGAGTGTGCTGTTAGGTGTTCTTTTGGAGGAGGCGGCAGACAGATTTTCTTCTAGTCCTTCTCTTTGTGCCAGGGGCTGTTTTGTTTCTGTATTACACTACTGAAAATTTAGGATATGAATCACCAGCTCCTAAGGCAAGATACATGTTTTTTTGTCATAGTGGGGTTTGCTGTTTTGTTATTCCTCAGTAAGATCTTTGTGTCAAAGATGTGAAATACATTCCTTTTATAAGTGCAGCCGGGAGTGAAGTGTAGTGTTGGAACTTTACTTCAGAATTTTTCCTATGGCACCTTTTGGAAGAGTTTATAAGAAAAAAAAATCAAAAAACCAACCAGTTAGCAAACCACAAACTTGTGTTCCTCATCTGTCTGAGAACGATATGGAATAATTTTAGCTTCATTCTAAAGTTTTCTTTAGTTGTTCCTGTCACATTATTGATTAGAAATAGTTTGTATGTCTGGTGATGCTGTTGGTGCAGACGTGATTCCTGCAAGCAGGAAGTTTTCCTCTTCCTTCCCCTGGTTTATAGGGCTGCCCTTCTCACTTGGACGTGCATAGCGTCG